AAGTCCTTTTGTTTTGGTTTTGATTTTGGTTTTTCGAGACAGGGTTTCTCTGTGTAGCTTTTGGAGCCTATTCTGGCACTTGCTCTGGAGACCAGGCTGGCCTCAAACTCACAGAGATCCGCCTGCCTCTGCCTCCTCAGTGCTGGGATTAAAGGTATGCGCCACCACCGCTTGGCTCAAAGTCTCTTCTTACACCAGGGAAAAATACTAATCCAGTACCAGGGGCCCCCTAGAGTGCAGAGGCCTCCTTATTGACATCTATGTTCAGGGGTCTGGATCAGTCCTGTACTGGCCTCCAAGACAGCAGTCTGGGGTTCATGTGCTCCCCCTTGTTCAAGCCAGCTATTTCTGTGGGTTTCACCAGCCTGGTACCGACCCCTTTGATCTTCATTCCTCCCTCTCTGCAACTAGGTTCCAGAGGAGAATGACCCAGTTTTTTAAAGCAATAATATCATTTCTATGTGATTCATTGAACATTAGCTCAAGAACATCGAAGATCTATAATTAGGTCTCTGTTTCCAAATAATTGTTATATTCCACCTGAAGTCTGTGGGCTATCTCAGAAGTGTTTCTTTTCTTCTTTGTTTTTTTGAAAACTTTGAATATTCTTAAAAGTTTCATAGAGGCAAGCACATTTAGTTTGTGATCAGTGACATATTGATTGATTCAGGTGCTTATTTTGTCAACCAAAGGTACATAGAAATATGAGAAAGTAAGGATTTACTTATAACTTGTTATTCTAAAGATTATCTTAATTCTGTTCATCTGTTATTTAATTTATAATTTAATACCATAAACTTACAAAGAAGTAAACTTATAATTCTATTCTAATTATTTTATGGAAAATCAGCTTTATTAGAACCTTTTTGTTCCAGTTATCTATTGCTCAATAACTCAATCATTTGGTGGAACAATAATATGTTATTTCTGATAGTTTTCTTTAGTGTCATGGAATTTGGAACTGTCTTGTGTATGGATATGTAAGTTACAGTAAAAAAAAGTAGTCAGAGCTGAGATTACCTCAAAAGTATTTCATATGCCTTATATCTATGCTTGAAAGACTTAACTGAAATCATCTCCACATGATGTCTTTAGCATAAGCATTACAAGGGATTGAGACATTTTATCCGGTCTTAAGAAAGAGTCCATTGGAAGATGCATTACATTTCTAATCACTTCTATTTCATTCTGCTATATCATACCAAGCTGGTCCATAGGACTCCATATTTTATGGAGGATAGACAAAGAATCTAGGAACATGCTGTTTCTCAATAATAATGAGTGTGTTTCAGAGGAGGGGGAGAAGACTAAAGTTTATAATTACTTCGTTTAGAAACTTGGTATCTCTTATATTGAGTTCAGGTTCATAGCCAAAATGAATAACAAAGCAAAATCCACAATGTGTTATTTGTGTGATGTAAGGTATGGTTCCACATATAACATACAAGCAAGTTTACAAGCAAATAGTTTTTGTTGTTGTTTGTGTTTTTTTTTTCTGAGACAGGGTTTCTCTATGGCATTTTGGAGCCTGTCCTGGAACTAGTTCTTGTAGAGCAGGCTGGTCTCGAACTCACAGAGATCCACCTGCCTCTGCCTCCCAAGTGCTGGGATTAAAGGCATGTGCCACCACTGCCCAGCTTGCAAATAGTTTTTGGCAGAATTAAATTATCACTAGAGGTCTAGTTCTGGATAAGATGGAGTAAACACATTTTACTCTTTATCTTTGACTAAATTTAGTGATTTGACAAAAAAAAAACTTGAAAAAAATTACAACCTAACTCTTTGAAATTTCTAAAAGTAAGTGAAACAGGCTGTAGATAAGGGAAGTACCAGAATTCAAAGAACCAGCAAATTCATAGAAAGGTTAACCTTTTCTCCCCTGTAGGATTCTCTAACCTGTATTAAAAACATAGCTTGAAACTTGAAAATGAATGTTGTGCCTCTGGGAATGAGAAAGGTAACTGTTAGTGCTCAGAGGATAGGGAGAAATAACAGTTTTTCACTCCTTTCCTCTATTCTTTCATGTCCCAGCTCCAGCTATGTCTATTGTACAGATAATGACTGGCAACAAAAGCCAACAGGAATCAAAATCAAAGGAAGAGGATCTGGTTCAGATGTAACAGTTGACATCTTCTGGTTAAGGAACCAAAAAGAGATAGCTCTGAGCTTTCTACCCCAAAAAACTAGAAAATAAAAAGATAAGAAAAAAAGACCCCCACTATCTTCTCCCTTTACCATGTCCCCCTACTAGTCCCCTTTCCTCCACAGATAGTGGCATCCATCTTCTTGCTGATGACATAATTTTATTATTTTTCCTTGTGGCTGAATAAAACATGTGTGTGTGTGTGTGTGTGTGTGTGTGTGTGTGTGTGTGTGTGTGTGTATGTGTGTGTATCACAAAAAAGGAAAAAGGAAAGATCTCCCATAAAGGTATTTAAAAGAATTTGAATTTGCCTCCAACTGGCATATACTTATGTAAAAGAGTAAAAACTTAAATATGCATTTTTAATACCTAGAAGAAGCAATAAAATATTATATGAAGATATATCACAAAGTTAAAATAGAGAAATTAAGACATTAAAATAAGGTATAAAAGGAGAAAGAGGGAAAAAATGCAAGAAAAAATTTAAAAAGATAATAAATTTATGTTTGAACATAAGTAATTATATTAAATGTAAATTATCTAAATACACTAAAACCAGAAACTATCATACTGTATATAAAAGAGCAAACTACTTTTATATTTTGTTTACAAGAAACACATTTCAAAAACAATAGCATAGATTACAAGCATAAAGGTGGAAAAAAGACATACAAAGCAAACATAAATATAAAGAAAATTAGAATACTATGAACACATAATCAAGAAAGAGTGACACTACCATAAGTATAGATATAAAGACCTATGCAATAGAAATGAGAGTTCAAAAATAAACCCATAAATGTATGGTCATTTGATTTGGTAGACACTAGCTTCTTCATAATTTTGGAAGACCTGGCTATACCCAGGCAAAACAAGTAATGAAATTGAGATTTCCCTCATATTACATATAAAATTTAACTCAAAATGTATCAAAGACATAAATATAACACACATAATTAAAAGAAAACAGAGTTAAGGTTTCATAACTATAGGTTTAGCAATAGTTTTTTAGATAACCCAGCAAGCTTTTGAGCTTTAAAGTCTATCAAGAAAATAGCCAAGCAGTGATGGTGCACACCTTTAATCCCAGCACTCGGGAGGCAGAGGCAGGTGGATCTCTGAGAGTTCAAGACCAGTCTGGTCTACAGAGTGAGTTCCAGAACAGACTCCAATGCTACATACACAGAGAAACCCTGTCTCAAAAAAAGTTTATCAAGAAAATAGCAAAGATAATGCTTAGAAAAGAAGAAAATATTTGCAAATCATATTTGATAAGTGAGTCATAACTGGATTATGCAAGGAAATCTTAAAGTCAATAATAAAAAGACAACTCAGTTTTAAAATGGGTAAACGATCTGTAAGGATATATATCCGAAGAAAATATGCAAATAGTCCCTGGAGATTTAGCTCAGTGGTAGAACCGTTACCTAGCTTGTGAAAGGCCCTAGTTTCCATCCCTGCCACAATAAAAATTTTAAAAAATCAGAAAAATACAGAAATGCCCAACAATCACACAAAAGACACAAATACCATTAGCCGTTAAGGAAAAGCATATCAAAATAAAAATGAGATACCACTTCATATCCACTAATATGGATCTATCTTTTTTTACAATAAGAAAAGTAAAGGCTGGAGAGATGACTCAGGATTTGCTGTTTTTGCAAATGACCTGAGTTTGGTTCCCAGCATATATGACAAGCAGCTCACAAACCCCTGGAATCTCCAGCTCTGGAGGGATCCAGTGCCCTCTTCTGGACTCCATGGGTACCTGCATTACACATAGACACACAAGTACACATAAATAAAAAATGAAATCTTTTAAAAAAAATAAGAAAAGTAGTAAATTTTGGGTATGTGAGAAATTTTAACCCTAATATTGCTTTAGAAGATGGTTTGGTGGTTCCTCAAATTTTTATAAACATATACCATATAATCTAATGATTTCTATATATAAGCACAAAAGAACAGAAAAACAAATACTCAAACAAAACCATGTAAATGAATGATCATGGCAGAACTAATCACAGAAGTTAACTAGAACAGGCAATGAGTTATGGTTAAAAAAAAAAGAAGGAATGGAGGGAGGGAGGAGAGGAGAGGAGAGGAAGGAAGGAAAGTCCCTCAACTAGCAAAAGAATGGTACTGCTCAATCTGATACCTTAAACAAAACAAAACAAAACCCTCCAGGTTAAACCAGGAGTGGTGCTATATGTCTATAATCCCAGTATTTGGGAGCTGGAGGCAGGCACATCAGGAATTTATGCCATCCTGTTACATAGCAAATCCAAGGGCAGCCTGAGATACATGAGCCTTGTCTCAAAAATAAAATTCTAAAAGATCAACAGCACCCTACAGTTAATCTCTCAGTGATGAAAAACTAAATGTTTTCATACTAATAAGACTTGGGACAAAACTAACTGCTTTTATTTGATATAGCATTAGCAATCTTGCCTACGATAAGATTAAAATGGTTAGATTGCAGTACTATTGTCCCTATTTACATAAAACATAATTATGTATAAAAATCCCAGAGAACTTTTAAACAAACTCCTATAAATAAGTTTAGGAGGTTTCCAGGACTCAAGATCAACATATAAAAATCAGTTGTACTCAACATACTAT